TGCCCAAGCTTTCATAACAGCCAATAAATTTAAAAATATGCTTAAACCAATAAACACCAGTAAAACAAAATATTTGCAGTTTGTCAAAACCAATGAGTTCTTCCCACTATGAAAGCAATGGGTGATGCTTTAAATCTAGGATGCTGCAGCTTCTGAGAAGCCATGATTCACTGAGTTTGGACAAACACAGCTATTACTTCCTTGGCCGTATGCTACAATGATGCAAGTAACATCCACGCAGATGGAAACAAGTTAACATGACAAATAAAATGGGACAAAAAAAAAAAAAAAATCAAAGAATAAGGCATTTCAGTTCAAACTAAATCTTTATTCATATGGAAAATACTACTTTTATTTTTGCTAATAAATAAAAATACTCAGAAAGAATTTTGCTTAGAGTTAAGTGACTAGTTACAGCCACATGAAGCTTTTAATTCTGTTAAAACCACGCCAACAATCATGCAGATCGGCTATGAGAAAGCAATATAAACTATATTTTATTTTGTGCAATCTTATCATACAATCTTAATGCTACCTTCTTCTAAACCATTTCACATAGATTGAAATGCAATTTCAAAACAAATATTAAGGGACATATTCTACACTTATTACACATATGGAGCTGTGTATAGCTTAAGCCCATAAATGTATAATGTAGTTAAGCATCTAAAGAAGGTAAAAGAAAAGAGGACCCCATTCTGAAAATTCAGACGAGTTTATAAACAAAAGAGAAGAAAAGCTCACACCAGTGAGTTCTCAAAAGACAAATACATTATTAAAGCATTAACAATAAATTATATTAAATTTAATAATGTTCATCCTTAGAATGGTTATTTCTGAGGAAGTATCACTTAAAAAGCACACCAAAACTTTCATCACTAGGAGTTAAACTGTAAGTTTACTTATCTCAATTCCCCACTCGGATGCAATTTGTTTTATAATAGGCTTCAGGTTTGTGAGCATATTCTTTATCATATATTTAAAAACAAATTGAAAAATGTTGCAGTTAAGCTGTGCATCAAACACATCATCAAGGTGAGAAACAGGCACTTGACAGTATAATGTGCAAGGCAAAACCTTTACTGGTCACAGTATAAACAGTTTCTTCAGGAGGGAAATTAAAAGTTCTCAGCCCATCTTTGAGAGCAAAATATTGAGGGCTGCTAGCAGATCTTTTTCTGTTCTTTTAGGTCAGCACCAACAACCAAACTAAATACTAGCTCATGCCTTAGAGGGTATTCCATAAACTATAAAATGCAGCATACTTTACCCAAGAATACTAATTCTTTCCTATAATTAACTTCAGCATACGTACTTGCCAAAGGCAAATACAGAGTTTACTCACAGACTAAATGATGCAATATAAACACTAACCCCTTCTCCTCTATTAGCATTTTTTAAAATATATAATGCCAATTTTACAAATACATTTGCCAGTTATAAGATCCTGTTTTGTAGCACAGAACACTGATGTTCTTTTATATAAACTTAAGAACAATGTCTTTTAACATCCTGTTAATACCGGGGAAAAAACCAAAACCAAAAACATTTTGCTACAGTTTCCCTCCAGGCACATCTCAACAGGAATCTCCAGAAAATAGCTATGCAGGAACTGTAAGCCAGAAAACTCTACGTGAATTGGAAGATAGAGGAGAAAGAGAGCGCTAAGAAAGCAGTAATGTGGCAGTAACAGAAACACGGTACAAGCTTAGACAAAAACTGCATGCATCCCTTTTCATCAGCATAAGCTTCTTGCAAAAATATGTTTACAAGACATCCATTATATAAAGGTATATGCTTTCTTGTAAAAATGCTGATTTTCTCTGAAATGCTAACTTGATCTTCCGACTGTACTGGCCATATCACTAGGCAGTCAACAAGTTTTCAGTTCTGTTATACCAGTTTAACAATCAGGAGAGAAAAGGCCTACTGTTAATTTTTTATGAAACTTTTGGTTTGATTTTTTTCCATGAACATTAAAGCAGTATTTATATAGGTCATATAAACAAAATGGAAACCAACTTTGGATCTGACATGAGCTGTACTGCTAATGAGAGACAATATGCTAAGAAGAGGCACTTTTAGTATTCTTATATACATTTCAAATCTCAAGTTTAACGCTTCACCTTCTTTTACCAAAAAATTAAAATACCAGTAGCTAATAAGATGGAGCTTTGTAACAAAAATGCTTCAGAAGCTGTGTGCATGCACATACTTGCAATGGCTCAGTTACTCAGTTACCCTGAAAATGCCAGAGTATAATTCAATCACTGCTTATGGGACGGGGGGAAGGAACAACACAGTACAACAAAAAAGTTGTTTGTAGAACAAGGATCAGCTATTGTAAAAATGAAAACATATGCCCTTCCATAAGAAGCAACTTATGCCTAGATTCAGGACCACGGATACTGAATATCGAGATCTTCTTACACTCTACTCACTGCTGCTTTCCAAATTTTCAATTATGTTTGTTTTTGGCATAACATGCACCTTAAAAACTGAGAAGCTTAGCTTTGTCAAACAACATTCAATATAACAAAAAAAAAAAAACCTCTGGAAGACCCATTTGACCTCACTATTCGTGAAGATCCTGTGATGGAAGGAATTACATTAGAATAGTATTTTCCCATTTCATACACAGTATAGCACATTGTGACAGTTGAGCATCTTGTATGCACAAGCTGAAGCATATGCTGAGGCTGAAGATTTGGAAAACAGTCTAGTAAGTATAAGCATTCTCCCTGCAAGCGACAGATCAGTATTCTTAGTTAAAAAGGGACAGCATCAAAACTAAAATTTTGAGTGGCCCTCAAATACCAGAAAAAAAAAAAAAAGGACCTCAAGCTAGTGGAAGTTCCTACATAAGGCAGTCAAATTTACAACCAGTGTATACATTCACTAAGGAATTACATTTTTTTTGGTAAAACCAACAATCCAACATACTGCAGAATCTGAATGTGAAATATAGGCACAAAATAGATTCTCTACTTTTTTTTTCAGTGTGGAAAACATAGCTATTTAACAATGTAATAAGAAAATTTACTATCAGGTGAGCAAAAATTTGTAACAATCTGAATAAAACAAAGTACTGTATAAAGGTGCAATATTGAGCAGATTTGATTTTGGTTTAAACATACAAGTAAATCATGGAACCTTTCTCTTCTTATCTATAAAGTATTTCACATTACCAGTATCATTCTAGTTCTTCCCAGTTGTCAGTAAGGTTACCTTTGCTTTGACGTCTAATACTAACCAGCTTTCCAGCTGATTTGATACTCCACCTGGAACTGTTTCCTGAGCTGGCCAGGTTTGTGTATTTTGTGGAGCCTTTGGTTTCATCTTCCCAGCCTGACCAGGCTGTATAGTCACTTAAAGTAGTTGCTGCATCACTGGTAGAGTCAGCAGCGGTAATCTGCGGTGGTTCCCATCCCTCAATCTCATCTGGTTTCCTAGATGGGACATTCTGCTTTATCACCAAACTGTCCCAAAAACCTGGCTTCTTTTCAAACTTCATCTCTTCCTTTAACTTTAGGTTTGTTCTAGAAAATAACAATGATGAGGTGATTAATTTCTTCATTTAACAATGCATGTAATAGTTATTAATAAACATTCAATTAATTTATTATGTTTTATAGTAAGAAATGCTAATCAGTTGTCAGCCTATGATAGCACATCCATTACTGTCAACTTCAGGAAAAACACCCTCGTATACATGTAAGCCTAAACACAATAGAATCTTGCAATGATAAATCAGAACTGGACTGAGTATGGCCATTTCCTATTATAAAAGAACTTAACACTCCTCTTCCCGCCCTGCAGTGAATTACACAGAACTGCCTTTGGAAATGTACAAAGTATTTTAGCATGCATTAGAACAATTTAGGACTTTAACCAAAAAAAAAACCAAACCCAGAGGTAGGATAGTAGAAGGAATATGAAAATGTTTTGTCTACCACCAGCTTTAACAATCACTGACTGTGTTCCTCAGTTCATATACCTGTTATCACCTTGCCAATTAAACCTTATCCCTAAAATAGTTGATGTACACAGTATCAGGACTTTAAAGATACCAGCATTTTTTTCATAAAGGTCTGCACAATATTTTGAAAACAGTTGCTTTGTATTTCTGGTAAGAAATCGCAGAATTCCCCTCCCAAAACCAGGAAAACACCACCTTTGTTGTAATTTCTCTCTCAAAGAGACATTTCATAGAATCATAGAATCATTAAGGTTGGAAAAGACCTCTAAGATCATCAAGTCCAACCGTCAACCCAACACCACCATGCCCACTAAACCATGTCTCTAAGCGCCTCATCTACACGTCTTTTAAATACTTCCAGGGATAGTGACTCAACCACTTCCCTGGGCAGCCTGTCCCAAGGCTTCACAACCTTTTCAGTGAAGAAATTTTTCCTGATGTCC